GGATTCATTTGAGTGCTAGTCAAGATCAACCTTGTAAGATACTGTTGTTGTGCTAGCTTTCTTTACTTACTATGTAAGACCTCGCCACTGTAAATTGTCCTATCAATAGATGTATATATGTTTGTTCTGTCACATCTCAAGAATAACAGTACTGTAAATTCTTGGGGTGTGACATGTCAGCTTGTGGACTGACAAGATCTTTCCTATATATATATATATATATATATATATATATATAAAAGCAACAATTCCATACTTAAATAAAGTGTCTGCCATGCCCTATTGCTGGAGGTCCTAAAGGCATTTGTTCCAGCCAAAGTTTGGAAAACACACTCTCTAGGGCTCCATGAACAAGATTGTGAAAGATAATTTTGAAAAAAAAAGGAAAAAAAAAAATCCCTAGAGAATAATTTTTTTCGTAGGCTGCATCAAATTGATCCAAAACGAATGGCCCTTAAGGCCCACAAATAGGGGAGGGTCGACATTGCGGCGGCCCAGCCTATACACAAAACCACAAAGCATAGCAATCAAAATGCTGTATTGAAAGATCCAGTGGCAATTCTCATGCAGCCAATGGATTTCCATCATGCATGAATACAATTTATAAAAATTGAGAAGATAAGAAACAATCAAACAGCAAATGACATGTGAAGGTTGTGATGTTCAAATAGAACAACAAACATATAGAATTTGCCCCTTTAGGGAAAAAAAATGAGAATATCATTTGATTTCAACCAGTGAGTGACTAAAATTTTCAATATTTATTTACTAAGCAGGAACAAAATTCGCGTAGCCAACCCCAAATAGTTGGGATAAGGCTGGGATGATGATGATTTACTAAGAAGTTCATAGAGGAGATAGCACCACGATTTTCACTTTAACTGACAACATAACTACTAAGAAGTTCACATGCTTTATTAGTATCCTAAGTGCTTTTATACCTTCAGTAAATCAACACTAACATCAAGCCAGGTGCCCGACTCCCCAATAAGACATACTTTAAAACATAAAAATGTTTATCATCCCTCACCACTGGTAGATTCATTATTTAGATGGCTAAAATAATAGAGAAATACATCTTTTGGGAAATGAAAATGAGCACACCTTTAGACTGGATAGAAAGATGGTATCTTTGAAGATTACTTCACAGCTCTTCACCTGCTCGCTTATGATCCCAATTATTGTGTAGAGGCCAAGATAGGTCTGCAGAAGTTGGTAACGCCAATCAAAAGGAACAAAAAAGAGCCCATAAAAGTAGAATATTGAATAAATATATTGTAACTAGAATATTTTACAGAGTTCCACAGGATAAATATGAAAATTATAAAACCTGTAGGAGGGCTGGCCTGTCCTTGCTAACACACTCAAACAGCACTTGAATGCAAAATTCACGGAAATCAGCATCTGACCTGCAATAAAAAATGAATTAGCTCAAGGCCATAATAATACTAGATCCATGAGGAACAACATCTCTGATTCGTTTCAGACTGACTCTTAGTTCAATTTTTGTTATTAATTAATGGTCCTTTACTTTTGGAATCTAAGCCAGAATAGATCCATGAATCAAGTTACATTTGAAGACCGATGAAATATTTCAAAGCACAAATTCCATAAAAACATTTTATGTTCATATCAGAGAGCATAAACTATACCACATGAAGTATACATAAAATATAGTACGTCTCTAAACTCTGTTAATGTCTGCTCACATACACAAACAGTGTATCTCATCCATTTTTTTTGATAATTGAGAGTTGAGGTTGCTAGTATAGTGTTTGTATGCTACGTGTAGTATGCTGTACTTTTCCATTTATTTTACATTAATGCAAGGTTCAAGGTAACATGAGTATTGCCTGTTGTTCCAAGAGTAACCACAGCAAAGTTGTGCAAATGCTATTAAGCTTGGATCAGCTGAAAATGTACTGACTAATTGATCCACTTTAAATGGACCAGGTTCACTGTTGCCTCTAACACTCGTTGCAGATTCAGAATGCCCACTAGTATCACAGACCTGATATCAGACAAAAGCCATGTACACATTTCAGTTTCATTGGATATTAAACATGAATAAGATCTCGCTGTGAGAATCACCAACCTTGTGCATAACTCGTGACAATAAAGATTGACACCCTATGGGATCATCCACATATGAGCATGCCCCAACCTTGCGCTTGACATAGAGCAAACCACCGTTGAACGGGTCATCTGGATCTCCAGCAACCCACCAAGGTTTCTCTATACAAGGAACAGAAAAGGAAGAAAGCCATCGTCAGGATAACACTATGGCAAGCAAATAGGATAGTCCAAACTATTATAATTAAAAGCTTCAAGCCCTTAGATTGGGTACCTTCGGTAATAAGTTCAATTTTTTGCGGCCAATATCTGGGCCCACACACTCGAACAGACTTCAGCTGCAAGGAAGCCAAACACTAGATTTTATACTCAAGTAAATAGGTCATGACATTTCTACGCAAGTGTAGTAAAGGATGACCTGCCAGTTTACAATGAATAGCTGCTAACTTGAAACAAGTTGCATCAAGATTTACCGAAAATGGTCAACTTTCCCCTCGCTTAGTTTATACAGTAAAAATGATTTTTACACTATTCAATTATCCCACTTTACTCTTAAATCCTACCCTACCCAATGTCCAGAGTTTTTCATATATACTAACAGACCCCCCCATGCCACAGATAAAAGAAGCTGTAAGTTGCAAAATCTCATGCAAACTGAAAATGGGAATGCATGGTATAGAACCCTTGCAAACAAGACAGGTAACTCTCTTTATACAGCACCAACGAGAATATATTATAATTCAATAGACAATTGCAAAACCATAATTTGTTGGGTCATCTCAGCCCATTGAAAAGTGGGAACCATCATTAGAGTCACGCCTTACGTCCTGATAGGTCTCCTCTCTCCAACAGACTATACTTTTTCATGGTCTATTGACTATGGTTTTTACTTTCCCTTGCATTAAAGATTGCAAAGCGACGTACAATAGCACGTTCTGGCAGAATGCAGGGAGTCACTTCACTGAAATTCGTCTCTGCATGATGTTCTGTTTCTTTGATTGTCATTTCAAGTGGAGCATAAACTGTAAGGCCCGTGTCAACATCAACTGTTTGCACACATCGTGCTTCTGTAGCAAGAACATAGAAGTGCCGGAACACCTAGGAAAGATAACAAGAAAAGAGTTAACATGGATTATAGAGAGAAACCTTGCATATTTTGTCAAGTGTAATCCAATCTACCTGAAGGTGGCAACGGTTGTCATTTGGACCAGTTGGCAGACGAGGATATAGGGAAATCAATAATGCTGCGATAGCATTGTTTCCAGTAGAAAAGGTACGCATGCCTCCACCAAGAAACAAGAAACCAATAGCCATGCTTACCTAAAAACATTTTCACGGGATCATAACTAATTTTCCACTTTGTGCGCAAGAAACTAGATGATGTACTGAAAGCACTAAATATGAGCAACGATTATAGAACACCAGTTAACCATATTGTATTAGGGTTACCAAGTACTCCCTGTTGTGGCAAGTATTTATATTTTTTTTACAAAAAGCAGGAATTTGGTACTGTTTTATTCATAAAATGTTTCAAAATGTACTAGACATCCTTTTTGGAAGCCCTTGAGAGAAAAGTTAATGGAAATGTAATAATGTTTTCCACCCCTGAGGTGGCAAGCATTATATCTCAACATGACTTAAGCCCATGGATCAATTGAAAAGTGTCCGTCACATCCTTCAAGTAATATTCAGAAAAAAAGGAATAATATGAAGGTTATAACAAGAGTTGCATGACAGATGTATGGATTTAACATACTGCCATTTGTGAGCCATAATTGATATGCCCATCCACAGAGTTACGACCGCGTAAATATCTAAGAAGGCGAAATGTTTGTATATGCCCAGAACCTGCCATAACCTGGTCCAGAAGAATTTAAATCATTATTGTAAATTGAGAGCTGAGATAAAATCCAACAATTAATGAAAGAAGCTGCTCTTTGAGGAGATATGTCATGAAATAGCCATATTATGACCAATTTGCAACCAAAACTGTCTAAGATGCAGTGAAGGGAGCGAATGACACATTTAACAACAAAAACAAGAATCAAAAGATAAACCAGCTCAAAATACCAGATGATCTTTCTCCTAACAATGCAACCTACAACAGTATACAAACTAACATTACTGAGTCAAGAAACCCTAGTCTCATTTAATAAAGAAAGCCAAACTAGGATATCCATTTGAATGCTAACATTGTAATAAAACATGATATTGTACTTCAAAAACTAATTTGTATATGCCACAGTTTATCTGCATCAGCCAAAAGCATGAAGCAGACAATGTACCCAATAATAGTGAGTGTAACACAAGCAGCAGGATTAGCAGTTGCAATATGCTGAGCTACTCTTTCATCAGTCTACTTAGTTGCTTGTAGCCAACATGTAGCAGCTGTACTGAAACTACTCAGCTAACCATGCATACGTCCTAGTAAGTAACAAATAAGTGCAGAAAACAATAATGATTTTGACACACTGGACTCTATAGAAAAATCATGGCCACTGGGATTCTGATCAAGTTTCTCAATTTTTGGCATAAAAAATCCCTATTGAGTACACCAAACCCTAGGTATGAGTAACTGAAACTTGATAAGTGACACCAGACACGCAATTGTTAATGATCTATTCAAGAAATAAAAGTTCAAATGCGCTTACTTCGACAACTTTAGAAATTTTGGAGTTTTAAAGCAATGATTGGTGCCAGAATTATCTGAGCTGTGGAACTTGGTATTTCAAGGATTTCTAGACAATCAGAGAAGAGATGTAGGACCATATTACACATATATGTATAACTAATGACTCATGATACCAAATGGTGGAATAGAAACAGTAGTACAGAAACTGGGGGACATTTCCATGCATAAATACTTTTCTTGCATGTCAACATTTCATAAAAAAATTTCTTAATCAACCAATTGGATAGAGATGGTCAACTAGGCAGAAAGCTTCTAGGTGATGAAAGCCTGGACCTTGATCCTAAAAAACAAGAAATATGATGAATCTCTTCCCGTACCAACATGCTCTTCCAATTATAGCGCTCAAATGACTCTGAAGTGAACCAATAATTTAAGCAAGGACAATATCCAGTTAAAAACTTCAATACTCACTATTCATATACCAATCACAATTTATAAATTTCAATGATGAGAGAAGAATATAAATAATGTCTAATTGTAATCTAAAGTAAACAACTTTTCATACCACAGAAAGGGACAGAACAACAATATGAAGGCACGTCTCAAGGGTACCACGATCTACATATTGCATTAACCCTTTATGCTTGATATTCCTAGACATAGCAGGTATTGGCTTGATCTGCAAATGATGATAAATTTCAATCAGACAAGGTTAATTTTTTTTCCCAATATTATAAAATTAATTGACAGTGTCATCTTTAAATTATACAAAAAGCAATACCTCATTCAAGAAGAAAACTGCATAATGGTTTAACAATTCCTGGGCATGCCCATTTTTCGTGCCTGCATATCTTAGTCCTGCGAATGCCCACAAAATTTGGTAGAATATCCACTATGATGTTCACGAATATGAAACAGCCAAATTAAAGGATGTGCCAACATTCACAGAGTTGTAAATGGAAAATTGAATAATACACTAACACATAGTGCACATATTTTCAAGATAAATGGTGGAATGTAAATGTGCCCCATTTAGTTAATCAATTGCAAGAACATTGCAATATTCAGATGCCAAAAACTGTGCAGGGGTCATAGTACATCACATATTGCATACATTTAGGCAGCGCTTTTAGCAACTCCTAAAAGTCTTAGTACAGAAGGATTCCCTTTACTGGGATATCCATGTGAATGATTATGAATATAGACTAGCTAAATATCCAATCTGAAACAATTCGTGTAAGATTTCCAAGACTAGATGAATCAGATAAATTTGGTAAAATCAAATTTGTTCTTAATAAAGCATAAACTCAAATCCGGTTCAGCAAACAATATCTTCAGAATGAACTTAAAACCCTGAAGGTGGATATAAATGTATACAAATATAGAAATAAACTGCCTGTAATAGGTTACAAATATAATATGTATATGAAATAAACTGGTTAATATACGTAGAGAGTATTGCATGCACATATCCTCAATATTCCTGCTCTCTACGTATATGTGCAGGATGCTTAAGTGTCAAGACCAATGAGGGGACCGTGGTTTTCAGATCACAAAATTTTAGATGCAGAAATGGGGATCGTTGCTTGCTAGAAGCTCCCTAGTGAGAATACCCATATAATAATTTTTTTTTAAATATAATAAACTTAAATGTTGGGATAAGACTCGAATGATGATAATAATAAACATAAAAAAAATAATTAAACAATTTTGATGCTCAACTTGTCTTTCTAATTTTGTCAATACAAAAAGTAAAAATAAAAAATAAAAAATAAAAAATAATCCTCTTCCCTCCTTTAAAATCCAAAAATTGCCTTATGATGCATTTTGCAGCTTAGACAATGGATCCCACCAAAGGAGAGATGAGGCTCTTCCTTGACAGCATTAGTGGATAGAGTTCTCTATAGACGACAAACATACTCCCAACTCCCAAGAGAATCAGAATGGATGAGAATCTTTTCCCACTTGAACGGCATCCTAGGAGGAGCAGCAGTAATGCCACCTTAGATGGAAGATCCCAACTATGTTTCAGATATTCATTAGAGACTAAAGAAAAAGAGCTCATGCATGGACTCAAAGTTATATTGCTTTCTCTCAGGCCATAGATGTGGGAGATGAAGCAGAAACAAGTAACTGTCGTTTCGTAGAAGCTCCTGAGGAATAGCTATGGAGTGCCTATACAATAAATATCAAAAGAAATATGTTTCTCAAAAATAAAGATTTTAACAATTGAAGGCTTTTCAATGCTCAAGTTCTCTATCAAACTTGGCCCAGAATGATAATGTCCCCCAACTTTCAAAGCCAGACTGTACCGTGCAATGAATTCTACAGGTCCACAGAGAAGCCCACCAAAGGAGAGAGGGCATTCTTACTTAACAACAGTAGTGGAAGGAGTTCCAAAAAGACAAGAAAGATATTCCCGAGAGAACAAGAATGTGTTGTCAACACCCTCCAGCTTTCCGAATCACGGAACCGTCTTCCAAGGGTGGGTATGTGACTTTAGATGGAAGATCCCAATAACCATGTTCAAGCCCCAAAATCATGCAAGATGATTTACTCAATGTCATACTAGACATGGATAGCAAGGACTCTTTCGATAGGCGATACTTTTTTCTATTTTATCCATTAAAAATATTGCAAAATAATAAAAATTCTGAAATTCCTCAAAACTTTCAATAGAAATGGGCAATATGCTTCTAGACACCTGAAACGATACTTGAAGACCACACAAGAAGTTAGAGTTATCAACTGAAGAAGATTCTTCATTTCTGAACATGTCATGCTATAGAATGCATGAAAAAAGTTGCATTCTTTTGTTGCTCTTATTTGAAGTGTGAAGCACTTCAAGCTTTCAATCATTGTGTGGGTGATCATGTCAATATGTAGACGTGACATGGTATATAGATTCATGAGAGCCACATCGATAGATTTCAGTAGAAAGACACAAATCAAATGAGAGTAGTAGCAAATAGAGTAATAAATGTAAGCGTGCTCGTTTTCTGATCTTTTCGACTTTCATGGGTTAATGACTCAGTTCCTTCTAATATCAGAAATTACCTAGAGACACACAGGCCCCTGCCAATATATTTACGTAGGCCTGCACCAGAGCTTCAACATCCAAGTCATCAAAGTCACTTGTATCATCTTCTATAGTCATTAGTCCCTTCTTCACAATCTCAGGTATCTGACCTTCAATCCAATCTTTACTGGGACAAACTCTGCATATTTTCAAATATGAGCAATTCAATATACTCTTTTCCAAGTGTCAAATGCTGACTTAAGCCAATTGTCTTGAATTGTACATAATTTTAGTAAGTCACCTCACCTGCTCCACAGTATCAGATTCCGGGCAATTACACGCAATAATAAAAAATCAGGCCGTACAAATTGAAGATCAAAAAAGGTAACAGGAACCGAAAGTTTTGAAGCCACCACATCAGATTCTGTCTGTCATACGACAATGGTTGGGTTGATTTTAGTATGGAAATATATAGATGAAACATTTGACTGAAGAATGCAAATGAAGTGTCGGTTCATTAAATAGCTTTACCTTCAAGAACAGTAAAGCTAGGGCAATAGTAGCTCCAGGTGCAGTGACATCGACATTGACCTGTGTCCCATCCATCATCTAAACAATCCACACCATTATAGATGATAGATCAACTCCACACCACAATAATGTCATGGAAAGGTCACACTAACAGAAGGTCCCAACAAGAAACTTTCACTAGTGAAGTATTTCACATATTAGTAAATATTGAAGAAAAAACGAGCCTAGAAAAGTAAAATCAATAATGGGTCACAAAATCAATAAACCTGTCCAGTACTGCGATTAAGATCCTCTGTCATGGGAGCAAATTTTGCAGATCGCTCCTATGAATAACCAAAGGAAACCTTTCAGAACAAAGAACCAACATTACGAAAACAGATAACAGGATCTCCACAATATGAAGAACATACATTACGTAAATCTTTGCCACCCAAAATGTACTGAAAAAGCCGATCCACCAAAGTGTCCATATAACCGATAAAATCGTTGCCCCGTCCTTTAAAAACAGTAGTGCATACATTAACACGGTGTACCATTTAAATAATACAACGAGCGCACATGAGTGAATCCACACCTAAACCAACTAGGCCCAATGCAGATCCCGCAGCAACAGCATAACCCTCTCTTTCAAGAACATTGTCACCAGCAGTTCTACGTCCAATTTCACCCTGTTAGGGGGGAAAAAAGTTATAAATGACAGCATAATTAGCTTGCAAACAAAGGAGCACAACAAGAAAATTAATAGAAATCAGCATTGCAACTTCTGAAAGAATAAATAGATGCAATAAGAGAAATTCATCTCGAAGAAGTATGAAGGCAGCTGCATGCAACTACATTTTCCACTTGCAAATAGCAAGACGATATATAGGATTCGACCAAGTTAATCTGATGCACAGCACCAAACAAAACAAAGACCAATAAATGTTCTCAACATTAGTCAAAAATGATTATCAATTCTTAAGATCTGAAGCATTCGGAGCACCAAAAGAAAACAAAGAATAAATCAATTTACAACATCAGTATCTCAAGTCAAAAACAAAATATATTGGTCAAAGATATTGTCAAAAACTAACTCCCACAAAATAAGGATATAATTTTATTTACATGATTACCTTAACTAACTTTAAAACACTTCTTATTAAAACCTAAATAAATAAAGAGAGGGAGTGGGGGTGCCACCCATGTGGGAGGTGTGAGGCCGTATGGGCTCCACACCCTACCCATGTGGTGTGGCACACATGTGGGGCTGAATCCAAGGGCCCCACATGTGCCCCGCCACACAATCTCAATTCAAAAATACCCTTTTAAGGGTTTTCAATGCTGAAATAAATTTCAAAACTCTGAAAAGTTTCTAAAATCACACAAATATTTCTAACTATGAAAATAAAATACCTAAAACTAGACTAGTACCAATGAGTCAAGATAAGTAACTATCAGAGCACTCCACCCGCCGCAGTAACTGTGATCCTCGACTATCTTCTCAAACCCACCCAATGAGGTCCATGACCCACATTCTCATGCAGAGGCTCATGATTGGCTTGTCAAAGTTGGCCATAGGGATGGCAATGGGTCAGATCGGATCTTGATCGATCTGGACCGAGAGCCAACCCAAACCCAACTCCCAGTTTAGATATGGGTCCAGAACCTAGCAAAACAATTTTTGAAAAATATTCAAAAAATAATATTTCAAATACATATACACAAACATCATACATGTGTAGGAAAATTTACCAGAATATTATATATTTTAAAAAATATTTATATAACATATCATATATGTGTGTAATATATATATATATATATATATATGGGATATGTTAGAGTGCTCACACTACAAATGGTTTTATAATTGTACTCAACAAATTTTGGATACTTATATACCCTTGTTTTATATATGGAGTATTTTTTAAGTAAGGGTATTTTTGATCAGCAGGAGACGTTGTGAAATCAACCACATGGGGTGTGACATCACCCATACAGAGCACACTAGTAGCATTTAAAACCCTCTATATAAGAGAGAGAGAGAGAGAGAGAGAGAGAGAGAGAGAGAGAGAGAGAGAGTTTATATAAAGTTGAAGTCTTAAATTGTAGAATTAAGGTGTACGTCTAAAATTTATCGAAAAAGACTGTTTTGATGTTGGAAAACTATTTAATTGATCAGCTTGACATCGAGATGTATGGATATGAAAAGAAAAGATTTTAAGTCCAAAAAATAGTACATCTTGCTGTAATACATTTTTTGGACGGGCAATTTTTAAGATTTTCATGCAATTATAGATATGCCTGATTTGAACCATTTTTGAAGTTTAAAATTCTATAATAGAGATGAAAATAGATTCTTAGGCTATCCTAAAAATTTTCGACACCAACAATACATATATATGTTTGTGTGTGTGTATAGATATGATCAGGTCAAGTCAACCTGGACTTGGATGCGACCCGGATCGGACTCGAGTCCAGGTTCAAATTTTGACTTGGATCGAGTCAATCTGATCCGATTGCCACCCCTATTTGGGCAATAAATAGTGGAACCACAGTCCTGGAATGTAAATTATAGGTTTTCTTCCTAAGAGCGAGTCACATGCACATATCACTATAGTGCAAAGGGGCTCTCTCTATGCAAATGTACATGTATTCCTTTTCAGGGCTGCTTTCCCATAATGCAGCTATCATGTGCACATGTTGTATGGAAGTTTGTTGAGGATTTAGCCCTTGCTCTCACATGCCTACATTTGTACACAGGAGACTACACAACTCTCCCGGCCTATAAACTATCTCTGAGCATCTCTCGAACCTCAACAAGGGATGACCTTCTGTAAACCCTTTTTGGTAGTGACATACACCGAAGAGAAAGGGTTTTGGACATAGCTAGGGCCATAAATCGCCTAACCCTCGATCAGTCAACCAACATACATACTCCTATTGAAGTGTATAAATGATATCTACATGCTCTCATGGTCGTCAAAGGCCACAAATTAGGGAGAGTAGTCCCCCGAAACCAATGCAATGTTGAATGGTTCTCATCAGTGACAGCTCATTAGGTAATACATCCAGCATTACATCCTCGAACTTTTGGATTAGGGGCTTAACTATCATGGGATTTCATCAAGGCAAGACCCATCTTTGGTTACCAAAGCATACACTACCCCTTGTTCTTTGCTTTCTTCAACAAACGTTTTAAAGGACAACTTCTCGTCTCCCACTCTTGGGCTCAGGTTTTGGTCTCCTCCTTTAGCAGTGTCAAAACAATTTTCACCCCATCTTTCCAAGAAGAGTATGTATTGTGTCGTCCATGGGATATGGCAGCTCGATCATATTGCCATAGATGGCCCAAAGGGATATTGCATGCGTCCATGTGTTGGACATCGCACCAAACTGAATCTTAACGTACTACAAATGGAAACAGAAATTAACAAGAAGTTACCATAGTCTCATTACCTTTCTGAAACCATGCTATTTTGTAGGGCTCGGGGTCATTCTCACATGTCAACTTCAACTTGTATACAACCTCTTGAGACGCCATAATACAGCAGCTGCCGCTACTAATAATAATGGTGCACACCTTCCCAAGAATTGTACAAATGCAGAAGATGTTGGTCTGGAGCCACGACTCTTCTAACACCTTTGGGGCAGTAAGTAGTTGTCTAAGGAAACTCCCACTCATCAGCCTCAAGTTCAACAACTCACTCACCCCTACCAGCTCCTCATCAAATACTCCAAGGTCTCCTTTGTTTGCATCATCCCCATCTAGGAGATATGTAATAGCTTGTCTTTTCCGGCACCCATACATGGATGGCGAATATTGCCACACTTATAACATTATGCATGATGTTCTTAGGTTTAGGGGCCATTGGCAGCTGGAGCTTTGCCCTTAGATGCCTCATCTGGGTGTGAGTTGGACCTGACTTCTTGTGGCTTTTGATTTGCCACGCCCCCTTTGAACTGGGGCTAATTTCCAGACACTAGAGCGTTACTTTCAATTTAGTTTCAGATTTTAAGGTCATTTGATAAGCCTCATCAAGACTACAATCTGGTTTAGAATTAGCTTATTTAAATTTGAGGTTTCAATCCACTCACATACCTAACAACAAGCGCTGGTCATCACCTCCATTGACTATGTTCCGACTCGTGAGGAGAATTCATCCGTATACTCATTGTCGGGGTTTGTGGCTTTTAAAGGCCACGAGAGTTTCTATATATCATATATATGGCATTCAATAGGAGTGTGTATTGACTAACCAAGGCTTAGGCTGTCTATGACCATGGTCACATCCAAAACCCTTATCCTTGGGCATATGACACTACCGAAAAAGGGTTTACAAAGAGTCATCATTCGTTAAGGTCGGAGAGAAGCCCAAGGATGGATCGCAGGCCAGGAGAGCTATGTGGGCTCCTATATGTGGATGTAGGCCTATGAGAACGAGGGCTGAGTCCTCAACAAACTTCCACACAACATATATATAAGACAATTTCCGGGAAGCAACCTTAGAAAGGGGTATATGTAAATGTGCATAGAGAGAGTCTTGCACTATAGTAATGTGTCTTGACTTACTCTTAAGTGGAGAAACTGTAACCCACATTTTAGGACTATGGTTCCACTCTTTATTGGCCAGCTTTGACGAGCCAATCATGAGCCCCTGCATGACACGATGCGTCATGCGTCTCCTTGGGTCGCTTTGAGAAGAAAGTTGTGGATCACAGTTACTGGGTCGAGTGTTGCGCCATTACAATCACTTATTTTGACACATTGATACCAGTCCACTTCTAGATATTCTATTTTCAATTTTAGAAATGCTTTTATGAATTTTAAAAATTTTAAAAATAATTTCAATAGTTGGATATTGAAGACGATGTTTTTGCAATTTTTACAGTGTCGAAGAGCACATCTGGATCCTTGGATCCAGCCCCACATGGGTGGGGCGTAGAGCCCATGGTGGGCCCGCACCTCCCACATGCCCCCCCCCCCCCCGGTCCCTTTTTCTCCTTATCTTTAAATTATGTTTTAATTACAAGAGTTATTAAGTTTGGTTAAGGCAATCTTTTAAAATAAAAGATTATGCCTTTATTTGTGGGAGTTAATTTTGAAATAGATTTGACCAAAATATCTTATTTTGACTTCCTATAGTTTTAAAGAAATAAAAAAGGAAGATCTAGAGGGTTTGTAAATTGGTCTTATCCTAGTAAAGGAAATAAAGTTCATAATATTTCTCCCTAAATCATGATGGCTGATTAATGGGATGAATGACTTAGATTTAATTCTTGCTCACCTCATGTATTTACTAAATTCCAATTGATCAAGGTGAGTCATAATTGGATATGCATACTTAGGGGGTTGAGGTCTATATAAAGAGGGGACCCCCTCCAATCTCTACACAATTCCCAAGCCTCTCTCTTGATTCCTATCTCCTCCCCGCCCCACTCTCTCATCTCATCTCCCTAGCTCTCTCTCTTTCTCTCTCTCTCTCTCTCTCTCTCTCTCTCTTTAAGTGGCTTGAATTTTAAGGAAAATTAATTGTATTGAAATTGTTAGTAGAAGCTCTAGTTTCATTTTTGGATTGTGCCTATTCAATTTGGCAGTAAAAAGAAAGGTACTATGTCGCATTTAGGGTTTGTTTAGTATTTATAGCAGTGCTTTGTGGCACTTGTAAGTGGAATTCAGATTGATTAA